ACCTGAGCTGAAACCAAGAGTTGACACTCAACGGACTGTGCCACCCAGGTGCCCCGCTAATACCATTTTTGACCCTTTAGTCTAGGTTTGGTAAATGACAAACAAGTGTTTACTAGTTTCTGCGTTTGTGTGGTCACCACAACACCCAGTTTGCTCCATCTATTCCCCAGTGCCCAGCCTCATCACCCCCTACATGGTGGCCTCCCTATCATCCGTATCTGGTACCTATACTTCCATCCTCTCAATTGCATCATTTTCCAGTCTGCATTCATCTTCCTTGCAACTTTTGCTTCTTTTGGCCAATTCACTAGCTTTCTCTTATCTGTGGAGCAAGTTCCCAAGTTATCTGTCCTCATAGACTTAGGAGCAGCAAGGCCTCTAAAAACAAATGAAAAGAAGAAGCAATGATGGGAACTCTGCTTTGGCTTTCAAAGCAGGTCAGCGTCTTCAACAGGCTTTCAATTATTGTGAGATTTGGTTTCACAATAATTCTAGGATGAAAACTTTAAATCTCTTATGCTTATTTTAAGGTTAAATAAGGGACTTTTAAAAATAAACACACAGGGGCACCTGGGTGGTTCAGTTGGTTAAGCGACTGCCTTCGGCTCAGGTCATGATCCTGGAGTCCCGGGATCGAGTCCCGCATCGGGCTCCCTGCTCGGCGGGGGGTCTGCTTCTCCCTCTGACCCTCCCCCCTCTCATGTGCTTGCTCTCTCTCATTCTCTCTCTCTCAAATAAATAAATGAAAAAATCTTTAAAAAATAAAAAATAAAAAAATAAACACACAAAGCGATGTATCCCAAATGTCACTTCTCATGGTCTTTCTTATACTGTGTTTTTTCTTGCTAAAACACACAAATGATAAACTTTGGATCTATAAATCACATATAAAGCACAATTTATCATTTGAGCTTCAGCATTTCCTTCCCCACTGCCATGTCACTTTTGTCATACACAAGAGGACAGCTAAGCTGGGCCTTACATCACCACAATAACTGAAACATAAGTACATGGCAAGTTAAATTTATCCTTAAGATTTTGATCAAAGTGTGATGCTACATTATCTGAGACATTTTTATGTCTACTGATAAGAAGCAGCTCTTTCCATAATTGTGCCCAGACTTTTAGAAGCCAGAGAAATGGTCCATGTGGCTCTTATTGGATCAACTCATTCACCATCAGTTTTTGGTGAATTTACACAGCCAGCACCTAACGTGACGCTAACCAGTGATATATGGGAGCAAGTGACTATGGGTAGGAATAGGGAGGATTGCACATTAACTGAATATAAGCAACATCACTTTTTATTTATTTATTTACTTATTTATTTTTTTATTTATTTGAGAGAGAGAGAATGAGAGAGAGCAAGCACATGAGAGGGAGGAGGGTCAGAGGGAGAAGCAGACTCCCTGCCGAGCAGGGAGCCCGATGCGGGACTCGATCCCGGGACTCCAGGATCATGACCTGAGCCGAAGGCAGTCGCTTAACCAACTGAGCCACCCAGGCGCCCAAGCAACATCACTTTTTAAAAACAAGCCAGCAGACTCTCCTCTATATCCATACCTGGCATGTAGTTTGAACTCAAAGAAGATTAGCAATTATCATATGGTTATATCAAAGCGATCAAGAAGATGAGCATCTGAGGAAATATATGAAATTAGATGACTATTAACAACTAAAATTGTTCATAAAAATAGTGCATCAGAATTAGCTAAATTATTTTTTTTGCTTCCAGTAACAGAAAACCTAACTCAAGTTGGCGAAAGCAGTGATCGAATCCATTATCTCACGTAAAAGCAGTCCAGAGTTAGTACGGGTCCCAGGCATGGTCCAACAGGGCTCTGGCCCAGCTCTGCAGCAATTCTCAGGGCCCTGCCCTAGGGCGGGAGAAAGCAGCTGTAGGCATTATGGGTATCTCTTCACCAGACACAATGAAGTCCAGACTAGAAGAAGAGAGACTGTCTCTTTTTTCGGGCTCTGTGTTACCAGCTAAGAAACTATGCCCAGAAGCAGCCCAGGAGACTCTCTCATGGCTCATTGGCCAAGACTAGGTTACATGTCTATTTTAACCCACGCAGTGGCAAGGGCGAATGGGTGGAGTTTATACTAATCACTGGGGTAGAATAGATCTTGGGAGTCAACTACTACCACCTATTAATACAGAGCACATTTGTCTATCTCTGAAGAGATTTTACATTGAAATTAATGAGTTTGAGGAAGTACGGTGGGAAGTGTGTGTGTGTGTGTGTGTGTGTGTGTGTGTGTGTGTGTGAATAATAGGGTGTTTGGTTAATGAAGGGGGCAAGGGAGCATAATCTCAGACCCCGAAATACACTGAAAGAATAGCCCTTAAACACAGATAAGGAGATCAAAGAGAAGAACGTCAGAGTGAGGGACCCACAGAAAGGTGCAGCTTGTTTCAAAAAGATACCATGGGTATGTACATTTAAACAGATACCCGCACACTCCTTTCAGGGATTGTAAGCTCTTTCAGAGGTGCTGGAGAAACCTTATTCTTTGCTCCCTGCTTTGTGAGATGTATAGACAAGGGTAGCCACAGGCAAATAAGGACAAGGTGGTTGCCCACATAAGGCAATTTGACAGGTGATGAAGAGGCCCCGTTAACCCTCCACACTCTCCCTTCTAAAAACAAAAGCAAGCCAAATGCACACAAACACGGATTAAACTAGCCATCCACTTAGGTGGGCAAGATAGTTAGACATGGGATATTGTGTGAGAGGCACCAAGCTGTCTCTCTGAACCCGATAGCACTCCATTCTGAGCCCCAAAGCCAACAAACAGTCCCACTATCGGGTAAAGCATTAGGCTCTGAGGTCTGTTCGAAAGTAAATGCTGTGGGAAGACTACATTAAGCCTCCAACACCTTAGCCTTAATTATTACATCATAGAAACTAAGTGTACCTGGAAACAAGCAAATTCCCTAGAGAGGCAGGATCTTTAAAAAGGGAAAAACAACTTCTTTATCATTTTGCCTATATTCCCAACCAGACAAGCATCTCTATGTAAAGCATATGGGAAGATAACGTGACCAATGGATTCACATACGTGCCCTGTTTGAGCCAACAGATGGGGAAGAAAGCATCAAATTAAAACTCTCAGGAGAGGGGCCTGTGTGGCCCTCTGGGAGCTCCTCCTCTCCTAGCCTTGCACCTGATGGGGATCATGAAATTCTTTTTTTCACTCCACTTCCTCTTGTGAACAAGAGGTTGGCTCCTCTCGACATTCCAGTGGAAATTAATAAAGACATCTCCTAAGAATGAACTATGACCTTGGGTTCATTTTAGCCCCTCCTCAAGGGAATGAGTGGGTATGTGAGAACTTTGCATTGGGATTTTTAGCTCAGAAATGTTTATACTTGATGCAGAAATGTTTATTGATCATTCTGGAACCTTTCAAGCTCTTGATCCCATCTTTACTGTTTGATAGTAAAAAGGTGTGTGTCTCCCCAACATGTAAAGAGCTGGTGTAACAAGGAGACTTCTCTTTGGGAACAGAAGTTTGTATTTTAGGTCAGATCTATTCTTAAAAATTTATTGCCTTTTTTTTTTTTTTTTTACATTCCCTAAGTTCCTAAAAGTAAAAAATAAAGTACATTTTCTGGGTGTTCTAATCAGATGCAGTTTTACAGAGGAAAGAAGGGCTACCATTGAACATTTACTAGATGTCTGATTCACTACTCAGTTTTTCTCACTTTGTCTTCCCAGCAATCCTGTCCCATGCAGGGATGGAGAGCTCTGGATTCAACCCCAAGCTCCAGACTAATTAGCTGAATGATCTGGGTGCTCCTGTATGAAGAGGGTATAATAACACTACCTACCTCATTAGATTGTTGTGAGAATTAAATGGGGTAAACATTAGCTGTGGGGCGCCTGGGTGGCTCAGTTGGTTAAGTGTCTGCCTTCAGCTCAGGTCATGATCCCAGGGTCCTGGGATCGAGCCCCACCTTGGGCTCCCTGCTCAGCAGGGAGTCTGCTTCTCCCTCTGCCTCCCCTGCTCCTTGTGTTCCCTCTCTCTCTTTCAAATAAATAAAATCTTTTAAAAAAGCAGTTGCCCTTAGCACCTTGCAAATAACAAGCACTTTGTAAATGTCTGCTCTCATTTTATTGTTTTCCTCATCTTACAGATCAGAAAGTTCTGAGTGAGACAAAGTAACTTGTCATATCTGAGAGAGATTAAGTATTTGCCTAAGGATGCCACATATGTAAATCATGAGAGAGGGATTCAAGCTCTTATTTTCAGGTTTGTCTAATTCTAGGGTCTGCACATTTCACAGTTACGTTATTTTTCCATTGAATCATCCATTTCACACACTATTCCACACAGGGGAGCAGGACAAAGCTCCTAAAAGTTGAAGAATTAAAAATATTTTTTGGTTATCACCCTGATTTCTCTGCATCTGGAGGACACTAAGTTAGGCCTAGACTAAGACTCTGACAAACTACCTTTTGCAATTTTAAGTGATGGTCCCAAAACGTAATAATACTCATAGCTTGGGCAGGGGTTGGGGGTGGCGATGATGTGGTTTGCCCGGGATCACATAACTAGCAGGTGACAGAAACCTGGTGGGAATTGTGTGTGGCTACATTACCCATGCTCCTGACCACCTGCTGGACCACGCCCTCCTTTGAAAAAGCTCTCAATGTGTGCAGAATGAATGTAGTACAATGTACAACAAAACCTTGAATGATAAGAACCTGAGAATAAGATGATATTAACTAGGGTTCTCCAGAACCAATAGGCGAAAGATAGGTAGGTAGATAGATTTATTATAAGCAATCGGCTCACTATTTATGGAGGCCAAGAAGTCCCACGATGTGTCATCTGTAAGCTAGAGAACCAGGAAAGCCAATGGTATAATTCATTTTGAGTCTAAAGGCCCAAGAACCAGGAGTGCTGATGTCCAAGAACAGGAGAAAATGAACGAATGGAGAAAAGAAGGAGAGAATAAATTCACTCTTCCTCTTTTTGCTCTCTTCTAGCGCTCAACAATTGGATGATGCCCACCCACATCAAAGAGTAACTTGATATGGTTCAGCAGACCTGTAAGGTAAGAGTGTCCTCTTTAAGTCATTCCAATGCATTATGTTACAGGTTATAACAAATATAGTTGGTGATTGATTTTGAATATTGCAGTCACCAGAAGAGTCAATTTGGAATATTTAAATCACCCCAAAATATAAAAACGTATGCATATTTTCATTATATGTTGAGTTTTACCTCAAATGGGGAAAAAAGAGTCACAAACAAATCCTGGACTCTATTTAACAATATGCAGGCTGATATATTTAGGAGAGAGATGTACTGATGTTTTCCACTGCATTTGAAATGCATTAAAAAATGTTTGTTGGATGTCTATAGGAATGGGTAGACAGGTGAGAACACTCCAGTGAAATGTTAATTATAGGATCTAGGTGGTGGGTATCTAGATATTTGCTGCATAGTTTTTTCAACTTTATACTAGATTTGAAAAATTTCAATAAAATTTTGGAAAAACATGAATGTGTGGATTAAATTATAATCAGACTTTATTTAAAAGAATGATTCAGGTGTCTCACAGGAAGTGAATTTGATACATGAAAATGTAGAATTAGGGGTGCCTGGGTGACTCAGTTGGTTAAGTGTCTGCCTTCAGCTCAGGCCATGATCCCAGGGTTCTAGGATGGAGCCCCGAGTCAGGCTCCCTGCTCGGCAGAGAGCCTGCTTCTCCCTCTCCCTTTACCTGCTGCTCTCTCTGCTTGTGTGCCTCCCCCCTCCCCGTCAAATAAATAAATAAAAGTCTTTAAAAAAAAAGAAAATGTAGAATTAATAATGATATTGATTGCAAATTATTAAGTGCTTAGTATGTGCCAGGCAGGGGACAAAGTGTTTAATAAGTGTTATCTAATTTAATCTAATACTCATAAGTATTGTTTGAAGTATGTATTACTATCCTTTTTTTTATTACTATGTTATGTTAATCACCATACATTACACCATTGGTTTTTGATGTGTGTCCCATGATTCATTGTTTGCGTATAACACCCAGTGCTCCATGCAGAACGTGCCCTCTTTAATACCCATCACCAGGCTAACCCATCCCCCTACCCCCCTCCCCTCTAGAACCCTCAGTTTGTTTTTCAGAGTCCGTAGTCTCTCATGGTTCGTCTCCCCCTCCAATTCTCTCCTTTCATTTTTCCCCTCCTGCTATCTTTTTTTTTTTTTTTTTTTTTAACATATAATGTATTATTTGTTTCAGAGGTACAGGTCTGTGATTCAACAGTCTTACACAATTCACAGCACTCACCATAGCACATACCCTCCCCAGTGTCTATCACCCAGCCACCCCATCCCTCCCACCCCCCACCACTCCAGCAAACCTCAGTTTGTTTCCTGAGATTAAGAATTCCTCATATTGGGCACCTGGGTGGCTCAGTTGGTTAAGCGACTGCCTTCGGCTCAGGTCATGATCCTGGAGTCCCGGGATTGAGTCCCGCATCAGGCTCCTTGCTCGGCAGGGAGTCTGCTTCTCCCACTGACCCTCCTCCCTCTCATGCTCTCTGTCTCTCATTCTGTCTCAAATAAATAAATAAAATCTTTAAAAAAAAAAGAATTCCTCATATTATGATACATGTCTTTCTCTGATTGACTTATTTCGCTCAGCATAATACCCTCCAGTTCCATCCACATCATTGCAAATGGCAAGATTTCATTCCTTTTGATGGCTGCATAATAATCCATTGTATATATATGCCACATCTTCTTTTTTTTTTTTTAAGATTTTATTTATTTGTTTGAGACAGAGAGAATGAGAGAGAGAGAGAGCACATGAGAGAGGGGAGGGTCAGAGGGAGAAGCAGACTCCCTGTCGAGCAGGGAGCCCAATGCGGGACTTGATCCAGGGACTCCAGGATCATGACCTGAGCCGAAGGCAGTCGCTTAACCAACTGAGCCACCCAGGCGCCCCTATACCACATCTTCTTTATCCATTCATCTGTGGATGGACATCTTGGCTCCTTCCACAGTTTGGCTATTGTAGACATTGCTGCTATAAACATCAGGGTGCACATACCCCTTCAGATCCCTACATTTGTATCTTTGGGGTAAATACCCAGTAGTGCAATTGCTGGATCATATGGTAGCTCTATTTTCAACTTTTTGAGCAACCTCCATACTGTTTTCCAGAGTGGCTGCACCAGCTTGCATTCTCACCAACAGTGTAGGAGGGTTCCCCTTTCTCTGCATCCCTGCCAACATTCCTGACTTGTTAATTTCAGCCATTCTGACTGGTGTGAGGTGGTATCTCATTGAGGTTTTGATTTGGATTTCCCTGATGCCGAGCGATGTTGAACGCTTTTTTATGTGTCTGTTGGCCATTTGGATGTCTTCTTTGGAAAAATGTCTGTTCATGTCTTCTGCCCTTTTCTTGATTGGATCATTTGTTCTTTGGGTGTTGAGTTTAAGAAGTTCTTTAGAGATTTTGGATACTGGCCCTTTATCTGATATGTCATTTGCAAATATCTTCTCTCATTCTGTTGTGTGTCTTTTGGTTTTGTTGACTGTTTCTTTTGCTGTGCAAAAGCTTTTTATCTTGATGAAGTCCCAATAGTTCATTTTTGCCCTTGCTTCCCTTGCCTTTGGCGATGTTTCTAGGGAGAAGTTGCTGCGGCTGAGGTCAAAGAGGTTGCTGCCTGGGTTCTCCTCTAGGATTTTGATGGACTCCTGTCTCACATTTAGGTCTTTCAACCATTTGGAGTCTATTTTTGTGTGTGGTGTAAGGAAATGGTCCAGTTTCATTCTTCTGCATGTGGCTGTCCAATTTTCCCAACACCATTTGTTGAAGAGACTGTCTTTTTTCCATTGGACATTCTTTCCTGCTTTGTCAAAGATTAGTTAGCTATAGAGTTGAGGGTCCATTTCTGGGCTCTCTATTCTGTTCCATTGATCTATGTGTCTGTTTTTGTGCCAGTACCATACTGTCTTGATGATGACAGCTTTGTAATAGAGCTTGAAGTCTGGAATTGTGACGTCACCAGCTTTGCTTTTCTTTTTCAACTTTCCTCTGGCTATTCGGAGTCTTTTCTGGTTCCATAGAAATTTTAGGATTATTTGTTCCATTTCTTTGAAAACAGTGGATGGTATTTTGATAGGGATTGCATTGAATGTGTAGACTGCTCTAGGTAGCATTGACATTGTCACAATATTTGTTCTTCCAATCCATGAGCATGGACTGTTTTTCCATTTCTTTGTGTCTTCCTCAATTTCTTTCATGAGTATTTTATAGTTTTCTGAGTACAGATCCTTTGCCTCTTTGGTTAGATTTATTCCTAGGTATCTTATGGTTTGGGGTGCAATTGTAAATGGGATCGACTCCTTAATTTCTCTTTCTTTGTCTTGTTGTTGGTGTATAGGAAGGCCACTGACTTCTGTGCATTGATTTTATATCCTGCCACTTTACTGAATTCCTGTATGAGTTCTAGCAGTTTTGGGGTGGAGTCTTTGGGGTTTTCCACATAAAGTATCATATCATCTGCAAAGAGTGAGAGTTTGACTTCTTCCTTGCTGATTTGGATGCCTTTTATTTCTTTTTGTTGTCTGATTGCTGTGGCTAGGACTTCTAATACTATGTGGAATAGCAGTGGTGATAGTGGACATCCCTGCCGTGTTCCTGACCTTAGGGGGAAAGCTCTCAGTTTTTCCCCATTGAGAATGATATTCGCTGTGGGTTTTTCATAGATGGCTTTTATGATATTGAGGTATGTACCCTCTATCCCTATACTCTGAAGTGTTTTAATCAAGAAAGGATGCTGTATTTTGTCAAATGCTTTTTCTGCATCTATTGAGAGGATCATATGGTTCTTGTTCATTCTTTTATTAATGTATTGTATCACGTTGATTGATTTGTGGATGTTGAACCAACCTTGTAGCCCAGGGTTAAATCCCACTTGGTCGTGGTGAATAATCCTTTTAATGTACTGTTGGATCCTATTGGCTAGTATTTTGGTGAGAATTTTTGCATCCATGTTCATCAAGGATATTGGTCTGTAATTCTCCTTTTTGATGGAGTCTTTGTTTGGTTTGGGGATCAAGGTAATGGTGGCCTCATAAAACAAGTTTGGAATTTTTTCTTCCATTTCTATTTTTTGGAACAGTTTCAGAAGAATAGGTATTAATTCTTCTTGAAATGTTTGGTAGAATTCCCCTGGGAAGCCATCTGGCCCTGGGCTTTTGTTTGTTGGGAGATTTTTGATGACTGCTTCAATTTCCTTAGTGGTTATAGATTGGTTCAGGTTTTCTATTTCTTCCTGGTTCAGTTTTGGTAGTTGGTACATCTCTAGGAATGCATCCATTTCTTCCAGATTATCTAAAATGTTGGTATATGGTTGCTCATAATATGTTCTTATGATTGTTTGTATTTCTTTGGTGTTGGTTGTGATCTCTCCTCTTTCATTCATGATTTTATTTATTTGGGTCCTTTCTCTTTTCTTTTTGATAAGTCTGGCCAGGGGTTTATCAATCTTGTTAATTCTTTCAAAGAACCAGCTCCTAGTTTTGTTGATCTGTTCCACTGTTCTTTTGGTTTCTATTTCATTGATTTTGGCTCTGATTTTATTATTTCTCTTCTCCTGCTGGGTTTAGGCTTTATTTGCTGTTCTTTCTCCAGCTCCTTTAGGTGTAGGGTTAGGTTGTGTATTTGAGACCTTTCTTGTTTCTTGAGAAAGGCTTATATTGCTATATACTCTCCTCTTAGGACTGCCTTTGCTGCATCCCAAAGATTTTGGACAGCTGTGTTTTCATTTTCATTTGTTTCTGCTTCTGACCAACTGGCTATAGATCCGAGGTTCCAATGATCCCGTGGTTGGGTTTGCTTAATTTGCTCGAGCAGCTCACAGAACTCAGAGAAACATTGTACTTACTAGATCACCAGTTTATTATAAAAGGAAAGAACTCAGGAACAGCTAGATGGAAGAGATGCACAGGGCGAAACAGGGAAGAAAGGCGTGGAGGTTCCCTGCCCTCTCCAGGTGCACCATTCCCCCAAAATCTCCACCTGTTTACCATATTTACTTGCCCAGAAGCTCCTGTATTACTGTCCTTATTTTGCAGGTTAGGCAAACGTGTGAGAAGTTTCCCTAACTTGAGGGAGAATGTGTATTTAGTAAGCGGCACAACTGGGAGTCAGACCACGTCTGTCTGAGTCACTGAGCTCCACGAAGGGGAAAACTGAATTGGGAACGTTTAGAGATTATTTAATTTCCCCACCCTGTGCTACAAATGACACAAAGGAACAGTAGCACTAGAATCCCATAATTTTCTACTCTTTGGCCAAGGCTTTTGCCACTAAACATAATGTCTCTCTAAGAGCAGTTGTTTTTTGTTGTTGTTTTTTTACAAAATGGATTCACTATAGGATTCCTTTAAGTAACAAATTTCCATAATGCACTTTAATTATAATTTGATGTAGAATTTGATCTACATACTTTTTTTGAGTACCATATGTGTCACAACCAATGGCACCCTGATGCTACAAACAGTATGTCCAACAATGTAGCTTGAGCTTTTGAATGCACTTAAATTATGCATGTTTCCCTAGTGGGAAAAAGGCATGAAATTCTGCATCCATTTGAGTTAAAGTGCTACCATACTGATAATTCTGGAATTTTGTTTTTCACAACTCAATTCCAAACCCACTGCTTTTCTGAAACTTTTATTTATTTTTTTTAAGTTTAGCAGTGACTGATTTACACAATGTAAACCACTTAAAAAAAAAAACATGAATGTAGAAAAGGGAAGTTGAACATTAAAAATCACAAAGGACAAAATTATGTCCTTTCCTCTTCTTGCACCTCTCCCTTTACCCTAGCTCATGTCTTTAACACTATTCCCAAAATTCTGGCAAGGGCGTGCATGGCTTTGAAGAAATGAAGGGATCCACTAAACCTTTTAGGTTTTAAGTTCCAGACAGCTGTCCATCTACTCTAGTGCTGCTAGTCCAATGTTTGGCAGCTTCGGATTTAGAAATCTTCAGTTTAACTTTTGGCTCCAGCACTCACTAGATGAGTGTCAGTGAAGCTCCTTATCTTCTGAGCCATTTTTCCACCAGCTATAAAATACTTACCTGACATCAAAGGAAAATGTATTTAGGACTTGACAGCAAAAGAACAAAGACATAAAAACCAAGAAAGACACAGTAAACAATTTTTAAAACTTTGTCATTTGTTTGTTTTTGCCATTTTCTGTAAGGCATAATCATGTTTCCATTGCATGATGAAACCATGAACTTTTATTTTTTATTTCAGAACATAGAAGACAATTCTCCATGGATCTCTTGCATATTGGCATACCTTTCAAGTGAGGTATTGATTGCCTTTACTATGGACTATCTTTTCAAAAATTTTTGTATAACTAATAGCCTTGAAAGACAGAGACGGTGTCTCTGAGCAAAAAGCAGGCATACTGATTGTCTACTATAAAAAATTTGGGTTCCTAACCCCAGTGGTTTTCTCCCATAACACAGTCCACTGCATGCACAGTTATCTTTTATTTTTTGAAAGGTTTTATTTATTTATTTGAGAGAGCGTGAGCACCAGCAGGGGTGGTAGGCCGAGGGAGAAGCAGGCTCCCTGCTGAGCAAGGAGTTTGATGCGGACCTCAATCCCAGGACCCCGAGATCATGACTTGAGCCAAAGGCAGATACTTAACTGACTGACCCCCCAGATGCTCCCTGCACATACAATTATCTATCCGGGCTTGTCCATGTTGCCCAGTGGGAAATGAACCTCGGGAACCTGGTGCATTTGTGAATTCTTTAGCTCTTGCTGTGTGTAATACAGTCTCTTGTCTCTGACCCAGGAGTCTCATGTCTTCTGCCAGCCTTCATCAAACAATGACATGCCATGGTTGCTGGCAAGGAGAATAAAATCTCAGACACTTCACAGTTCTTGACAAGAAGTTAGGATGCAAAATGAAAACAAGGATTCTTTCTCCCATCATATCTTGAGGCCATTTTTTATAAAACATATGCCATTTTTGGGGAGCATGAACAGTATATTGTAGTGATTAAACACATAGACTCTGTGGCCAGAATGCCTGGGTTCAAATCCTCTCTTTTATTTTGAGTTCCCCCAGAAACAGACTCTAAGATTAGGATATGAGTGAAAATAGTTTATTTGGGAGGTAATCCCAGTAATCACTAGTGAGGATTGAGGAAAGAAAAAAGGAGAGGGAAGACAGCCAGGAAATAATGAGTTTTCAAGCAAGTTATGACTGTGTATAGCAAAAGGTTAATCCTCCTTGGGAACTCTTAGTAGCCAACAGAGCACTTGTGTTTCTGAGTTATCCTACCTGAGGAGTGAGGGACCTGCCTGGGATATTTTATACCAAATCCCAACCCATCATTGACTGAGGGCTCCTGGGAGGGGTCAGTGCAGATTCTAGCTCTGTATTTTCTGGCCTGTCTTGCGTATAGCACAAAGTGGGCCGCAGCAGGCCCTGGAAGTTAGAAGTGAGGCCTCAGTGTGCACTACATTGATAAGGTCCAAGGGGATATAGTTGGCAGATCCATAGCCTTTGCTACAGACATCCTCTAGCACTGTATTCTTAGGAAGTCCCTCAACCTGGTTATGCCCCTGTTTCCTCATCTCTAAGATGGAAATTATAATAGCACCACCTACCTAGGGTTGATAGAAGGATTAAAGAAATAGTCAGTTCATGTAAAGCACTTAAAACAGACCATAGCATTTCTTTTTTTTTTTTTTTAAAGATTTTATTTATTTATTTGAGAGAGCGAGAATGAGAGACAGAGAGCACGAGAGGGAAGAGGGCAGAGGGAGAAGCAGACTCCCTGCTGAGCAGGGAGCCTGATGCGGGACTCGATCCAGGGACTCCAGGATCATGACCTGAGCCGAAGGCAGTCGCTTAACCAACTGAGCCACCCAGGCGCCCCAGACCATAGCATTTCTTAAGCACTTAGTAAATATTGGCTATCGTTATAGAATAATTTGACATTTATTAATTGATATTTTGTCTAGATCAGTCTCTGGAAGTTGACTTCTAATTCCCCAACGTTGGAGTTTTATTTTACCGAATGCCTGGAATGGACTCTTACAGATTCAAGGTATATTTATGCTTGCCATTTGTCAAGGACCAACATTGGCTGCCTCATGGAAAGCACCAAGAAAGATGTGTTTAAAACTTATTCCTATTTAAATTTCCTTAGAGAATTTATGGGGCTAAGCACTCCTGAACTCTTTAATTTAAAGATTTACTGCTTTGTCAGAGAAACTAATTAAATCTTATTTGAAGTGTCAGTAACACAGCAGCATCAGACTGGATTTTCTATTCTATAATGGGAATGAGAATATAAAAGAGAAGTGTGTTTTAAACTCAATTTTCTAGCATTCTGTATCATTTATGTCAGACTCCTGTGAATCAGCATCATAGTAACTATGGAATTTACCAAAACAAAACACTCACAAATTTTAGTAAGCCTACTTAACTTTTGATTAAGGTAGAATTCTACTGTTAAGCTAAAATAACACGAGTAGGAAATGACAGCTTACCAGGGGAGAGACTCATATTTAGGGAAACCAATTCTTCAGAGGTCTATAGATGTGCTTATTTCTCACTCTAGTAACATTCCTGATCTCCATACCTTTTTGTTCTCCCCAAACAGACCGCTGGGCTTGCTCTGAATCTCTTATTTAAAGATCTCAATCACTATTTACATATTACCAGAGTCTTTATATTAAGAAAATTGTCTCAGGAGTTTCCCTTTGAAAAAAAGAATCCTGTTTGTTTGTTTGTTTGTTTTCATTTTTGCAGTGCTCATTTAGGTATTCTTCCCTTTGTCTAAGGATATCTTAACATAACATATATATGCATATAAAAATTAAGAAAATTATTATCTTTCATAAATGTTTTATCAGTGTTTATGCTGAAAGAAAATAAACCATAATCTTCCACATTAAAATGTTGAGAGTTTTAATAAGACATGTTTTGTTTTTAGCTTCTGTTTTTCTCCACACCTAAATGACTTACACTTCACTTCTATGCTTAGTTTTTATTATGGACCAAGCAGAGTTGGAAAAACCTGTAGGCTCTCTTTCTCTCATTGGTCAACTTTTTTTTTTTTTAATTTTAGATGTCTTCCTGGCCTATAAAACTTTTTATAGTAGGAGGTAGGATAAAGTTCCCTATAAATTGAATCCATATATACTAGGACAGTATTTTTATTTCTTGAAATTTCCTAGCCATTTTCTTCCTTGCTCAGCATTAGTTTAATAAAACATATTGCTATAGAGAATATGAATGAAATATTTTTTTCTTAAGCATAGGATACTCAGGCTATTAGGGAGGAGACATTAATGAAATTCAGCATTTAACCTGTGCCTTTATAAAGAAAGCATAAAATAAAGTTTTTGAAAAATAAGTTTGAATTACTGATTTATGGATGTTAAGAAGTGTTTTAAATATTTTTATTTTTATTTATTTATTTTTTAAATTTCTTTATTTTAGAGAGAGAGAGAGAGAGAGCACGACTGGGGGGAGGGCCAGATGTACAGGGAGAGAGAATCCTCAAGTGGACTCCCCGCTGAACATGGAGCCCAACGCAGGGCACAATCCCAGGACCCTGAGATCATGACCTGAGCCGAATTCAAGAGTTGGCTGCTTGACTGACTGAGCCACCCAGGTGCCCCTTAAATGATTTTAAAGTTTTAAATAGTCTTTTTGTGTACATATATAATTATAGAAATAGTTATTTAGTAATAACTGATTGAATTCTACCTCTTTGCTACCTTTACTTAAATTTTTAAATTTCTTCTGAAATATAAACATCCGTCCAAATTCTCTGAAAACAAATTTATATTTTTACCTTTTCTTTGAATGCCTTCTAGGTCTTTAAACTCCATTTTGAAAATTCAACATTTATTTGTTTCTTTATTCACTAATGCTATGGTATTTATTGAACGCTTACTGTGTACTAAGCTCCAGGAATACCTTGGTAAACAGCATGCTCTCTGGCCACGGAGACAAGACAATAATCAAATAATGCCACAGAAAAGCTCATAAGAGACAACTGTGTTTTGTTTTGTTTTCTTTAAAGATTTTATTTATTTATTTGAGAGACCGAGAATGAGAGAGAGAGAGCACATGAGAGGGGGAAGGGTCAGAGGGCGAAGCAGACTCCCTTCCAAGTAGGGAGCCAGATGCGGGACTTGATCCAGGGACTCCAGGATCATGACCTGAGCTGAAGGCAGTCGCTTAACCAAAGTACTGCGTAGGAAAGCTGCCTAACGCTATGAGACCATATGCTAAGGAGACTGACCCAGCCTGTTGAATAAAGGGAGGGCTTCCTTGAGGAAGAAACATTTGAACTGAGATCTGAGGGATGTGTAGGAGTCAGACAAATGTGGTTTTGGCTGCAATCTGAGGTCTGTAGCCTAAGAGTCAATATGCAGAATTCTGTATTCAGATTTCACAGTTAAAGTAGGTAGTACATCATAATTAGTGAGCCTAGCCCTCTGGTTTCATCAGAGACATGCTCCCTTGACCACATTACAACTATCGGACCTGTGTTACTCTTTTAGTAATAATACAGGTGATAATGCTAGCTCTATTTCTGAGACGTTCCTCTAAAAATAAAAGGAATAGGAAATGGGAAAGTGTTCTTTTTTAACATGATAGAGTTCTGTGCAAATACTATTTATTATCTTTATGCGATCTCCATTTTACTTCTTTTCATAAAGCAAAAGAACAAAAGGAGCTGATGCTTTAGAGGAAACAGTTATTTGTCATCCACAACTAAAATTTCTAAGTGTTTTTCCCAGTTGCTTATTAACAAATAATTTTTAGTAAGTGGTTCTCTGATACAGCTTTCTCCTAGACAGAATAAAGTATAACGGACCTTATTTTTCCCTAAAAGAATGACTGTAACAAAGACGTACAATCAACATAGACAGCACAACACCAAGAGGATAGGTAAATTCACTTGTTCATTTAGTCATTCATTCAGTTTATAGCTCTAAGGATGCGAGGAAAAACAAGACAGTAACGTAGAAGTGGTCACTGTCCTCCTAGTGCCAATAACCTGGTTTTAATAAAATATTGTGAGTATGTGCAAGATATATGTTTAATTTTTGGAACATGTACCAGAAAGAACATGAGCTAAGAAGTACTATCTGTTATAGAAATTGCAAGGCCAATGATTCAGTCAAGATTTATGGGTAGACCTCAAAGCCATTGATGAGTTGTGGAAGATACCTAAGCTGATCACATTATTTCATCCCCCTCCCTGGCAAATGCCCCTCTGGCATTTGTCTAGATTCCAAGCTGAGAGGGAAGATAGCTAACAGAAGCTTGCTCCACCCCATCTCTACCCAGCAAAAAGGAAAGAGAATTCCCCGAAGGAAAAGGCTAGATTTCTCAGGAGGTAGATCATCAATTCAGTGAGAGATGGTCGGCCTGGTTCAATGTGCTGGCAGACCTAGACACCCACTGGACTCTGAGCAGGCTTTATAGGAGGCAGAAAAGCAAAGCATGCATCCTCAACAACTCAACTTAGAGACAGCCCTGCCCGGTATCCTAAAAATGCCCCAGGAAACAACACCTCATTGCTGGTAGGTCATCCACTTACTAAGGTGAGTCCTGTAGAACCTCAAGGACTTACTTAGGAGAGTCCTACTGACTTTGAAGCCCATAGCCTCTAGCAAAAAGAATATCATTGTCTAAGTTCAAGTTCCATTGGGAAGATGGAAGCAAAATGTGTATTTGTGACACCACTGTCCCCTCTTTCTGCACCATCTCCTACTTCCCCTGTCTTCCCAGATGCCCAGGGGCCTAGCCTGTACCGTGGCGTCCCGTGTTCCTCTACAGGGCCCCCCTAAAGCTTGTCTTTCCTGGACATACTCTGAAGCTAACCAAATCTCATCTTTTAACAATTGTTACTACCCTGTATCCTATTACTTATGGACCTGTTTTTGTTTTGCTTTGTTTTGTTCTTGTTCTTGTTTTTGTTTTGCTGGGTGAAAGATAATAATGTGAAAAATCCATTTCTGATAAGTTGTTATTGGTGATAATAAATTTAGGGCAATGTCTGGCATATAAATGCTTCCTGAGAATATAAAACCATCTGGTAATCTCTCTAGGTCATATATATCTATATCTATGTATCTATCTATTTATGCTTATATATATATAAAATGTATATAGAATATATGTATATATATATTCTAACAGGGGTTACTTGGAGACATTTCTTAAACTCTGGACAATGGCATTAAAATTAAGAAGTTCTAGCCCTAAAGGAGATTATATTTTGGGGTATATTCTCCATTTATTAACTTTGTACCCTCATATAATTTCTGCTTATGGTTTGATGAGCTTGATCCTATGAGGTAGAGCTGATGTTATATGATGTTATATGAATATACATTGGGTCCAAAGTACACTGTTGAAAATTCAAGGCTTGTCAGGGAGGTTGACTATTTCTGGGCACTGGTACAAGCCCCAGAAAGAAAGATTAGTTACTTCTTTTCTTTGGTGATGACATGAATTAAATAGTATACCCTCGGATTAAAATATGTCATCTATTCAACACAGAGTCCTTACTAAAGGCCTTAAAGCAAGTATAATCTATTAAATGTAAAAACTGGGGAATGTTGACAGCTACCAAGCTCATGTAGCATTTACGCATTTTAAATGACGTGAGCAAACACGTCAGTCTGTCTGACCTACCTCTGTCCCCTTCTTGAGAACCTCCCATTGCTTCTAGCAAATGGGAGGCAAGCCATTTGACCTCACCCTCCTGACAGCAGCTGATTGGAGCAGGGATGAAAGAGACAGCTAGAGAAAGAGAGACAAAGACAGGGAGAGACAGAGAGAAAAAAGAGTAAAATCAGAAGGTATCCAGACAGAAGCCAGTGACCTTGTGGTTCCAGTGAGGGAGAAAGAGAAAGAAAGGAAAAAAGAGAGCACACATCTTAATTCCAGAGAGCTTTTAGATTTCTTCTTCCGGTTCTGTGGGCAGCCCAGATTTACTCTGTATCTTAATTCTGTAAGATAATCTGTGTAACAGAGGAGGTTGATTTCCATAGCAGCACTATCCAGTAAAAATAGAATGTAAGCCATGTATGTAATTTAAAATTTTCTAGTGAGTATGGTAAAAAAGTAAAAAGAAACTGGTGAAATTGATTTTAACAATATAGTTTATTTAATCCAATCTATTCCTGGTATTGCCATTTCAATATGTAATCAGTATAAAAATTATCAGTGGGATATCTGCATCCTTCTTTCCAAACTAAGTCGTATCAAAATCTGGTGTGCATGTTATACTTACGGCACAGGAGCTCAACTTGAATGAGCCACATTCCAAGTGCTCCACAGCAATATGTGGCAGGTGGCCACCATATTGGACAGTGCAGGGATAGAACAATTCCTGGGAAGCAGCTCTGCTACCAGAGACTTCATTTCCTGGCTACCCGCATCAAGGAAGGGCCAGGTAATTAGGCATTGGAAGTAGAAGTTATGTATGTCACTTTTAAACCAACGTGGTTAAGAAGCAAATATGGCTTCTCCATTCTCTGTCCCCTTTCACCAGTTGGAGGCAAATGGACATGGAGCCTATGAAAGATGGTACAAGAAGGAAGAAGCTTTGGTCTTTAAATCACTAGTTTGAAGAAAGCCTGCCATCAACTGGAAATATTTGTTTTGGATGTTGAACAAGCAAAGCATAAATTCGTTTGTTCATTTGAACAGCTTTACATTTTGGGGTTTATTTTTTTAGCCATTCCTGTAGCCTATCTAATATACCCACATTTTCCTGTACCTGTGTTAAATGGTTCTTCTATTTCTTGCAGCAAGTGACACCCTAACACATGTATGTGAATATCCGGGTAGGCAAGGCTTTGGAGATGAGTGATTCGTCTGTGTGTATTTTACCCGAGACATTTTTAGTCTGCAGACTTTATTTGGAAAAATAAAGCACTGAAAACAAAAGAGAGGAGGACATGGATAAGTTATAAAACTCTCAGAAGAAAACATATGACAAAAGCTTCCTAATGTTGGATTTGGCAATGATTTCTTGGATGTGACACCAAACGGACAGGCAATAAAAGAAAAAATAGACAAATCAGACTTCATAAAAATAAAAACTTTTGTGTGCCAATAGACAGTATTAACAGAATCAAAAGAATGTTTGGGAGAGAATGAGAGAGAATATTTGCAAGTTATATATCTGATGAAAGATTAATATTAAGAATATATAAAGAACACCTAAAACTCAATAACAAAACCAAACAACCCAATTCAAAGATGGGCTTGAATAGACATTTCTCTAAAGAAGGTATTCGAATGGCCAATAAACACATGGAAAGGTGCTCAACATCACTAATCATGAGATAAATGCAGATCAAAGCTGCCGTGAGATGCCCCCTCATACCCACAAAGATGACCACTATAAAAAACAAACAAACAAACAGAAAATAACAAGGGTTAGTGAGGATGTGGAGAAACTGGAACTTTTGTGCACTGTTGGTGGGAATGTAAAATAAGATAGCCTTATGGAAAGCAATATGGCTGTTCCTTAAAAAAAATTAAAAATACGATTACCGTATGATTTAGCAATTCCACTTCTGGGTATATACCCCAAAGAATCGAGAGCAGGGCCTTGAAGAGATGTTTTTATAACCATGTTCACAGCAGCATTATTCACAATAGCTAAAATGTGGAAGCAACCCAAGTGTCTATTGACAGATGACTGGATAAATAAAATGTAGTATATTATTGTCTTTTTTTTTTTAAGATTTTATTTATTTATTTGACAGAAACACAGTGAGAGAGGGAACA